GGAGGAGGAGGAGGAGGAGGAATGGGAGGAAAGGAAGGTTTGAAGACCCTCTCGAGCGAAGAGCATCGCGTCGAAGCGCCGCGTGAATTTTCCAAATTACCACGAGCAGCGGGAAAAATTTGGTCAAAAGCCGAGCGCTTAAAAGGGACGGTCGAGTCGGTAAAAGGTGTCCTGCTCTCTTTTTCGCAGCGGACCCGGTCTTGGGAGGACAAGCCTCGCAATTAAATAATTGCACGCGAGTTTACTCCGACAAACGCTTCAAAAAGAAGCTGCTTCTTGCTACCGCTTTTTTCCCTCTTTCCGTCCACGTGCCGCACAGCGAAACTGCTTTCAAACGGCCCGCGGTTCTCCTTTCGATCGCTTTGATTGCTTGTTCGAGCGTTACACCGCGAGGATTCGAGTTCACCGTGCGTCCAGCTTCATTAGACTAATGAAACTGTGCTTCAAAGTTCGGCTCTCCTCGGACGAATGCCTCTTCTTTTCATCCGAATCCGAATCCGCGGCAACAAACGCCACTGCTCGTTCTCTCTGCAACGGCCGTAACCGCTGGTCAGCAACGAAACGTCGCGTAAAACTTGTACCTGTCGTTTCGACCGCGTGCTCCGCCTATCCGCAGAGTGCAACCATTGCCTCAGGTATAACGCTGATTCCTCCAACTCGCGGTGAACCGGCAAGCTAACGCGCTAACGCGATGCTATGCACGGTTTGTTGGAATCGACAGGAAAAATCGCAATTGCTATTGATCGGGGCCAGTCGTTAGCGCGATCGAATTCCCATCGATGGAACGGTTCGTTTCTTTCGTTAATATTCCACGCTTTAACGCGAATCGCGCGAGCCACGTGGTTTCTGGTGCGGCAAAATCATCGACGCGGTAGCAAAGTGGCAATTATTCGGTCATAACATCAGGAAACGACGCGATTCGACTAATTTGCACGTGTCGGTGAATTTTATCTCGTGTTATTTGCGGGTGGACCGGAAAATTGCCGCAGTTAATGATAATTATTACAATGACGCGAGCGATTCGTCCGTGAAATCTCTCGTTCGAGAATTCTCGTGAAAAGTTGAACGGGCAAATAATTAGAGGAAGAGAAAAAGGGGCGTTCGAGGCGAGGGAGAGAGAGAGAGAGTGAGAGAGAGTGCACGGTCCGCCCATGTTCGGCCGGCGGGAATAAATTGTTTATACTCGCCGGTTGCTAACAACATTGCAGGCAGACCGAGGCGGACCGCGGTACATAAAGTCGATATGTCCATAAACCATCGTTTCCGAGAATAACGATTATGCGGTGACTCGGAATAGGGGTGTTTGTTCGCGCGCCTCACGCGCAACCTTCGCACCTCCGCTCGCCGACGAGCGACGCTGAGCGGAGATGCTTCCGGGACCGAGCCGTCATCGCGTATTTTTCAAACGCACGTTTTCTCGCCTCAAACTCGAGATAAACGCGGGATAAACGAGCGATGAACGGCGTCGCGACGGACACGACGATACTACCCGACCCCCTCGATCGCGCGGCCAAGAGTAATGGTGATTTTCGCGCGTCGTTCGCTTCAAAAACGAATTCTCGCGATTCCTCTCCGGACAGTCGCGGTACTACGTTCATTGGATCGCTATTTCGCTTGCGATTTATTCGTCGCAACGCGTCGATGGAATTTCCTTCCCCTTTTATACGCTTTAATTTACGAGCCATGGCTCGGCGTTGTTCGAATTTATCGAGCTATTTTTTATTCCGTGCCGGGCACCGATAACTTTTTATGATACACGCGGCTACATGGAACCGGTCGGGGCATTTTTTTCTCGTTTCAATTAGAAACTAAAATTAAAAACTCGTTAGCCGAAACGAAACCGTACCGCGGGCCTCCGGGGAAGCGGACAGCCCGCGCGAATCGATTGACGTGCCAGATGCTTTTTGATGTAACATCGGACCATGCTCCGAAATATTCCCGCCGATCGGCGTGGCCGAAATAAACACCGCTTTCATACGCTCTCGTATCGGGCGAATCTCGGTGCTAATTAGCGCGATCATATATTCATACGGTGCTCCCTTTTTCCTCTTTGGCGTAAAATCCGACAGGGGAGTAAGCGAATTAAAAACACCGTGATACTTCAATTACGGACACGCGTTACCATCGGGGAATATTCGATTACCCTCGCTCGTCCAAGATACCTTGTATCCGGCTGTTTCCCCTTGCCATTCGGGTTCTGCTTTTTCCCCGGCACCGTTCGATAAATTCCGCATATTCGATAGCACGAGCGAGCGAGCGAGCGAGCGAACGGGTCCAGGAAAAGAGCCGTTTCGCTGGAAAACAGGTACAGAACCGGAGGCGGTCGGGTGATGGAACGTCTTCTGCAGCCAGAAACCGTGTACACGGGCCGCAAACATCAACATCCGGCGCCACGTCGCCTTTGCCTTCAACCCATTAATAATAATCAGTTACCGGATATACCCGTAAGCCGATGCTGCTTCTAATGAGTAAGAAGCTGCGCCGTCTAGATTACACGAGATAATACCGTATTTACTCGACGCGATCATGGATATTAGTCGTATAACGTGGCAGGCGCAGAAACGACGGA